AAAAAAAAAAAGTCAAGAAGGGAAAGGGTTGACATGTCGTGGGGTTGTTAACCAATGTCATAAAACAATATGTGTACTACTGTTTAATGAGAAACTATTTGTTCTGTAAACCTTCACTTGAAGTACAATTAAAAAAAAAAAAGATGGAAAGAATACATAGGGGCACTGTACCAAAAATAACTGATCAACATTCAACCATTTCAGGAGGTAGCATATGATCAAGAACTTATGGTACCATAGGAAGAAGTCCAAGCTGCACTGAAGGGAATGGCCAAGTACAAGGCTCCAGGAATTGATGGTATAATGATTGAGATGTTTCAACAAATGGATGCAGCGCTGGAGGTACCCACTTGTCTACGTCAAGAAATTTGGAAGACAGCTTCCAGGCCAACCAACTGGAAGAGATCCCTATTTGCGCCCAGTCCAAAGAGAGGTGATCCAACAGAATGTAGAAAATTCAGTAAAATTTTGCGGAAGATCATTCAAAAGTGGTTGCAGCAGTACATTGACAGGAACTGCTAGAAGTTTAAGCTAGAAAAAGAAGAGGACGTGGAAAAAGGGACATCATTGCTGATGTCAGATGGATCTTGGCTTAAAGCAGAGAATACCAGAAAGATGTTTACCTGTGTTTTATTGACTTAGCAAAGGCTTTCGACTGTGCAGATCATAACGATTATGGATAACATTGCGAAGGATGGGAATTCCAGAACACTTAATCGTGCTCAGGAGAAACATGTACATAGACCAACAGGCAGTCATTCGAATAGAACAAGGGGATAGTGTGGGGTTTAAAGTCAGGAAGGTTTATGTGTCAGGGTTGTATCCTGTCACCATACTTATTCAATCTGTATGCTGAGCAAGTAATCCGAGAAGCTGGACTATATGAAGACCAATGGGGCATCAGGATTGGAGGAAGATTCATAAACAACCTGCGTTACGCAGATGACACAACCTTGCTTGCTGAAAGTGAAGAGGACTTGAAGCACTTACTGACGAAAATCAAAGACTACAGCCTTCAGTATGGATTGTACCTCAATAAAAAGAAAACAAAAATCCTCACAACTGGGCCAATAAGCAACATCATGATAAATGGAGAAAAGATTGAAGTTGTCAAGGATTTCATTTACTTGAATCCACAGTCAACACCCATGGAAGCCTGGGTTTTCAAGGCTGTGATTTCTCAGAAGCAGATTGCCAGGCTTTCTTCTGAGGTGCTTCTGGGTGGGTTCAAACCTCCAGCCTTTTGGTTACTAGTTGACCATTTAACCATTTGCGTCACCCAGGGACTCCTACCTCTCCCACATTGTTGTTGTTGTTAGTCTAGTGGGTTCCAACTCATAGTGACCCAGTGTACAACAGATCATAACACTGCCCAGTCCTGCGCCATCCTCACAATCATTACTATGCTTGAGCCCATCATTGCAGCCAGTAAGTCAGTCCATCTCGTTAAGAGTCTTCCTCTCTTTTGCTGACCCTCTACTTTACCAAGCATGATGTCTTTCTCCAGGGACTGGTCTCTTCTGATAACATGTCCAAAGTATGCGAGATGAAGTCTTGCCATCCTTGGTTCTAAGGAGCATCCTGGCTGTACATCATCTGAGACAGTTAACATCCATGCCCATGGAAGCAGCAGTCAAGGAATCAAACGATGTATGGCATTGGCCAAATCTGCTGCAAAAAACCTTTTTAAAGTGCTAAAAAGCAAAGACGTCACTTTGAGGACTAAGGTGTTTTCAATTGCCTCATATGCATGAGAAAGCTGGACAATGAATAAAGAAGACCAGAGAAGAATTGATGCCTTTGAATTGATACCATGGACTGCCAGAAGAATGAACAAATCTGTCTCAGAAGATGTACAGCCAGAATGCTCCTTAGAAGCAAGGGTGGCAAGACTTCGTCTCACATACTTTGGACATGTTATCAGAAGAGAACAGTCCCTGGAAAAGGACATCATGCTTGGTAAAGTAGAGGGTCAGTGAAAGAGACGAAGACTCTTAATGAGATAGACTGACTTACTGGCTGCAATGATGGGCTCAAGCATAGTAATGATTGTGAGGATGGCGCAGGACTGGGCAGTGTTATGATCTGTTGTACACTGGGTCACTATGAGTTGGAACCCACTAGACTAACAACAACAACAATGTGGGAGAGGTAGGAGTCCCTGGGTGACGCAAATGGTTAAATGGTCAACTAGTAACCAAAAGGCTGGAGGTTTGAACCCACCCAGAAGCACCTCAGAAGAAAGCCTGGCAATCTGCTTCTGAGAAATCACAGCCTTGAAAACCCTATGGAGCAGTTCTACTCTGCACACATAGGGTCACCATGAGTTGGAATTGACTTGATGGCAGCTGGTTTGTTTTTTGGTGTTTATGGGATAGGTGCTTGGGGATACCAAAATGAATATGAGAATTTCTGCACTAAAAGAGTTCTAGCCAAGAGAAGGGACACGTAAGCAGAGAATTATCATGAAATAAGTGCTGTTATGACAAAGGGTGCAGTGTGGGCATCTAGGAGGAAGCAAGTCAGTTTCATCTGGGGGAATGTATGAAGTAGGAAGGGCTTCATACAAGAGATGAAGCTTGAGCTGGCAGGTGTTTGTGACCTGGGAACCGAAGTAAGGGGAGAAAAGGAGTTGAAGAACATTCCAGGCAGGGGAAGCTACGTGAACAATAACAGAAAGGCATATTCAGAAAATTCCCATATTCAGAAAATTGCAAGTGGTTACATGTTGTTGATGTGAATGATGGGAACAGGAAAGCATGCATGATAAGACTGGATGGGAAGGCGAGGGCTAGACCATAGAGGGTCTTATATGCTGTGATAAGGAGCCAGGATTTGGTCCTGAATGCCACTGGAAACCACTGAAAGGTTTTATGTAGGCAAGAGACATGATCATATTTTGCTTTTGAAAGATCACTCTGCCTATTCTGTGGAGGATGGAATGAAGGGGAGCAAAACTGGAGGCAGAAAACCGATTAGGAAATGATTGTGATAGTCCAGATGAAAAGTGAAGAGGGTTTGAGATGAAGCAGTAGCAGTGGGGATGGAGTTAAGAGGGCCAATACAAGAGAAGTTTCAGAGGAGGGGCTTCGAATTACAGGACCAACTACGACAGGAGGCAGAAGAGGTCCTCATCCTGAAGGAAATATACTGAATTATAAGCTGGACAGTACTGAAATGTAACTACAGGAACTCATATTTAATCTTGTGTTATTTTCAAATTACATGGAAATATAATCTTCTTTAAAATGATCATCAAGATGACCTACCATGGTCATGGACTTCGGCTGATTTTCTAATCTTCTAGGTCTGCAGGAAACAGAAAAAATACAAAATTAATAAATATGGGGTGGGGAGGGGGCTAAAACAGTGAACATAGTGAATGAGTATGTCATTATTTAACATACTTTCCCTTCACTTTCAAAGATAAACTGTCATCTAGGATAGAACTATGCGATTCAAAAAGGCTAAGATAAAGCCCTGTATATATGAATCATTCTCACTGCAATTAAATCAAAATATTGAGGCATAGTCTCATTACATTTTAAAATTCTCATAGATTTACTCAGGATACTATTCTGGCTACGACTTGAAAACCTAACAAATTTCCTTGAAAGTGATGAGGAACTAGGGGCAAAAATAAGGCATCTGAGACTGTTAAAGGTTCATTTTTACATCCCTACTTCTAAGTCCACTACCGAGGACTACTGGCAAAAGCAGCACCATAGTTTCAAGATGATGAAGAAGTAGTTTAAAGCTTGTTCATTTGCTGAACTTACTGAGGTAAACTGGATATTCCAGGGACAGTGGAGGCTGAAGTCTGATGGAGGTCTCTCTGGAAAGGCCTTGTAAGCTCTTTGCCCCACCCTTCCCCACCCCTTTTATTTCAAGGCTAGTCTAAATCTCTACACAAATGGGCCTCAAGTCCTTTGTGAAAATAGGCCAAATAAAGTAAACAAGTACTTGAACTGGTGAAAAATATATAAATTCATATGCAAAATTTATTTTAAAATAATTCTAGAAAAAATATTCTACCATTTTTAGCAACTAAGATTCATATTCAGTTTAAATTAGCAGTTACTGAGCATCTATGATATGCCAGGCATCAGATTATATTCTTCCACACTAGAAAAAAAATCACAGTTATTCCATCTTATTGCAAACACTAGTATAAGTCTGCTAAGGAGATTTTTTTTCCCCCCATTAATAATTGCTTTTTTTTTTTATCATTGTAAAAATATAGATAACACAATATTTGCCATTTCAACATTTTTCACATGTAGAATTCAGTGATATCAATTACATTAATCATGTTGTGAAACATCAGGAATATCTGTTGCCAGATTTTCTATCACCATGAACAGAAACTAAATGCTAAGGAGCTTTGATTTTCAAAACATAGTTGTATTTGCAAATGCTGTGCTGGACAAACATGACTTATGAGAAAACCAAAATGCAGCTCTAAATTCTGTCTCCCACTTCTACTTTAAGCTTTCTTCACTCAGGGAAACTTTCCCTTTACCATTGGGATGAATCTGCAGCAGGCCCAGTCATTTTTTTACTCACTGTTAGGTAACAATGAGTCCTCACTGTGAAGAGTAAACAGTCTCAATTCAGTAGTAAGTAGAATGTCCAGTCCTAAATATTAATCGATGTTTTAATCTTCATTCCAAATTAAGATTTCTGCCCCTCAGGTAAGGCCCATAGTTGGTGGACATCCCCTGTCTTTGGAAGTCAGTTTCTGCTCCCTCTTTACTCATCACTTCCTCTATTTGCAGGAGAAGTAAGGCGACAGGACAGTTTTTACATGGCTGGGGGCTTTAGGGTCTCTGGGCTTGGCAACTGACGAAAGCTGTTTCTTTTGGTTTGGAGCTTCCCACCGCTAGGGACCTCTCACCTGTAGTTCCCCAATCTAGGTTGATACACTTGACACTTGATTACCCCCTATAAATCTGGCATTCTCCTCCAGCTTCTTTTTGCTGTATCTCTCAGTTCTCCAGGCAGCCTTGGCCAGATCCTAGGTAATTAGTATCACCTGCACAGTTCTTAAGACACTATCACACATTTTTTTTAAAAAAACCATTTTATTGTGTGTTAGGTCAAAGTTTACATAGCAAATTAGTTTTCCATTCAGTAATTCATGCACAAATTGTTCCATGTCACTGGTTGCAATCCCCACAAGGTGTCAACACTCTCTCCATTTCCACCCTGGGTTCCCCGTTTCCATTTGTCCAGTTCGCCTGCCCTCCCTGCCTTCTCATCTTTGCTTTTGGGCAAACGTTGCCCTTTTGTTCTCGTACAGTTGATTGTTCTAAGAAGCATATTCCTCAAGGATGTTACTATTTATTTTATAGGCCAGTTTATTATTTGGCAGAAAGGTGGCCTCTAGGAGTGGCTTCAGTTCCAAGTTTGAAGGGTGTTTTAGAGCAATAGTCTCCGGGGTTCCTCTAGTCTCTCTCGGACCAGTAAATCTGGTCGTTTTTTTATGGATTTGAATTTTGTTTTACATTTTTCACCTATTCTAACTGAGACTTTCTATTGTATTCCTGTTCAGAGCAGTCAGTAGTGATAGCTGGGCACCATCTAGTTTTTCTGGTCTCAGGCTAGAGGAAGCTATGGTTCATGTGGGCCATTAGTCCTTTGGACTAACTGCTTTCTTGAGTCTTTGGTTTTCTTCATTCTCTTTTGCTACAGACAGGAAGGGACCAATAGTTGTATCTTAGATGGCCACTCGCAAGCTTTTAAGACCCCAGATGCTACTCACCAACCTAGGATGTAGAACATTATCTTTATGAACTATGTTGTGCCAATTGACCTAATATCTCCAAGACTATGGTCCTTAGCCTTCAAGCCCCGTAGCTCAGTTCCATGAGGTGTTTAGTTATATCTAAGAAGTTTCCATAACTGTGCCCCCTATGTGCTCTATTATATATATAAATATACATGCAGCACATGCAAATATGTATGTAGAAATATCCACAACCATACCTATATATGCATGCAGGTGTACTCCCATATGACCTCCCACACCTATTTAGCATACGTATCTACCTATGTATCCAGCTAAAAAGTATTGTTTGTTATCACTGTTGTTGCAGGATTATATATGTTAATAGTATTTACTGTAGTTGCCCTTTATTCTTGCCTACCTCTCAGTGTCTTCTTTGCCTTGGTCACATTATGCTGACTTCCTTCATTGTGCACTGCCTTTCCCTTCACCACAGTTAACATGTATTCACTATTTAGTGATTCTCTCTTGTATCCCCTCCCACCCCTGGTAACAATCAAAGGATGTTTTTTTCTGTGTGTAAACCTATTCTTGACTTTTTTTTAATTAGTGGTCTCAGACAATATTTGTCCTTTTGTGATTGTTTTATTTCACTCAGCATAATGTCCTCCAGATTCATCCATGCTGTGAGATGTTTTGTGGATTCATCATTATTATTTATCATTGCGTAGTATTCCATTGTATGTATGTACCACAATTTGTTTATCCCTTCATCTGTTACTGGACGTTTAGGTTGCTTCCATTTTTTGCTATTGAGAATAATGCTGTAATGAACATGGGTGTGCATATGTCTATTCGTATCATGGCTCTTATATCTCTAGAATATATACCTAGGAGTGGGAATGCTTGATCATATGGTATTTCTATTTCTAGCATTTTAAAGGAAGCGCCATACCGTTTTCCATAGTGGTTGTACCATTTTACAGTTCCACCAGCAGTGAATAGAGTTCCAATCTGTCCACAACCTTGCCAGAATTTGTTGTTTTCTGTGTTTTTGATCAGTGTGTGCCATTATTGCCAGGGTGAGATGGTACTGCATTGTAATTTTGATTTGCATCTCTCTAATGGCTAATGAATGCAAGCATTTCTTCATGTGTTTGTTAGCTGACTGAATCTCTTCTTTGGTGAAGTGTCTGTTCAAGTCCTTTGCCCATTTTTTGACTGAACTGTTTGTCTTATTGTTGTTGAGGTGTTGAATTTTTCTAAATATGTTAGAGATTAGACCCTTGTCAGATACATTATTGCCAAATTATTTTCCCCAGTCTGTAGGTTCTCTTTTTACTCTTTTGCTGAGGTCATTTAATGAGCATAAGTCTTTAATTTTTAGGAGGCTCCAGTTATCTAGTTTATCTTCTGCTGTTTGTACATTTTCAGTTATGTTTGATAGTCTATTTATGCCATAAATTAGGACCTCTACCTTTGTCCCTATGTTTTGTTTCATGAAGTTTATAGTTTTGGGTTTCACATTTAGGTTTCTGATCCATTTTGCGTTAGTTTTTGTGTATGGTGTGAGGTATGAATCCTGTTTCATTTTTATGCAAATGGATACCCAGTTTTGCCAGAACCATATATTAAAGAGAGTATCTCTGTCCCATTTATCAGTGTTGACATGTCGTGAGGTTGTTAACTATTGCCATAGGGCAATATGTGTACTGTTTAATGAGAAACTATTTGTTTTGCAAACCTTCATCTAAATTACACACATACGAAAAAGAATTATCTATGTGAGATCAAATTGACAACAGCAACTCAAAAGGTTTGATGGGAAGCCTAGAGGACAGTGAGTTGAAGACAATGGTGATGGAATAATTTGGAAAAGGATAGTGAGAACAGCAGCACAACTGGAAGAATGTAATCGATGTCACTGAATTGTACATGTAGAAATTTTTGAAATGGTGTATCTTTGGCTATGTATAGTTTCATCAAACAACAACAAAAAACAAAACAAAACAAGTCTTCCAAGGTCGAGAAGGGAGAGTATTGACATGTTGTGGGGTTGTTAACAAATGTCATAAAAGAATATGTGTACTCACTGTTTAATGAGAAACTATTTGTTCTGTAAACCTTCATCTAAAGTACAACACAAAAAAAATTTAAAAAAGAAAAAACAGAGTATCTCTGCCCCATTTAATGGACTTTGATCCTGTTATGGACTGAATTATGTCCCCCGAAAATGTGTATCAACTTGGCTAGGCCATGATTCCCAGTATTGTGTGGCTGTTCTCCATTTTCTGATCTGATGTGATTATCCTATGTGTTGTAAATCCTAACACCGATGATGTTAATGCTGCCACTCGCCTGTCAGTTTGTCATACTGTGTGGGCTCGCGTGTTGCTGTTATGCTGGAAGCTATGCCACCGGTGTTCAAATACCAGCAGGGTCACCATGGCAGACAGCTTTTAGCTGAGCTTCCAGACTAAGACAGACTAGGAAGAAGGGCCTGGCAGTCTACTTCTGAAAAGAATTAGCCAGTAAAAACCTTATGAATAGCAGCGGAACAATGTCTGATATAGTGCCAGAA